AACCCCCTTCCCCTCCCCCTTTTCTGATGAAGGGTCTAGGCCCGAAACGTCAGCCTCTCTGCTCCTATGATGCTGCTTGGCCTGCTGTGTTCATCCAGCCCTGCACCTTGTTGTCTTAGATGCAGATATATCTGTCAAACAAAGCTGGTCACCCCTTTGTAGCTATCTAAATAAACCCCTGCTGGGCTGGGTTGATTACCGATTCTTGGAGCTCTGCTTAGTATTCATAATTAAGTTATCTTCTAACACTCAGAGCAGAAGCAAGTTGAATAGATGGGTGTATATTAATTTTGCTGGGTAGTACATCATAAATGTCAATTCCAATGACATGCAAGTGTCATAATATGGTTCACTGTTTCTGCATCTAATGCATACTGAGGTAGTTTTGAGGGACATGGCGGATATGAGGGGAAATTAAGAAGACGTGGGGTCAGTGAGGGATGAGGGTTAAAGGACCAAGTAGCAACGTATTGAACTGGGCCTTTGTCCCAGTAAACAAATAGCCTGCCAGTATTGCTATCTGCACACCTCTGTGGATGCCTCAAAAGATTGAGGTCATGACTCTAACCTATACCCACGTGCACGGAATGGAAAATATAGTTTGTAGGCACTGCATGAACAGAGACAGATCATGGAGTTGAGCAAATTCCAGGCACCAGATCCACACGTTGAAGTCAAAAATCCTACTGTGGTGTCACACCCTCTAATTTAAAATATTTTTAATAATTTATTTATGTAAAGATGACATGTTAAAATTAATGTTCATATTATGTTGTATATCACTTCACAATATAAAGAGAGAACACAGTTCCTCTGTTCATTTTCTGACCTTCAGATAATGGATTGTAGTCTTCACCAGATGTTGCTGAGCCATCCTTTGTGTGAACTCGTACAATGGAAACCTTTGATGCGTCACCTAGACGTAGAACTGGGATTGTTACAATCGCTAACTCTTCAGCTTCTTGAGGTTCCTGAATGCTGTACTTTGTTTCAGCAAACTTTATAATTGATTCTATTAGAAACAAAGTTATATATTAGTCTCCAATTTTTCTTCACAAATAGTGATGGACAATGATTACACAAATCAAAAACATACTGTCTCCTTCATCTTTGATCTTGATTAGAGTTTCATTTTGTTCTCGAACAGAAGCCCCAAATGATGATTCACTTCGGGGTGTCCCAAGTACCAGACAGAACTCCTCCTCTTCTTCATAAATAGTATCATCCACCAGAGGGACAGTGCAGGACTTTTCTACCTCCCCTATATAGTAAAAACACAACATCTGTTCAAATCTCATAGATTTGATAGACACATGGATAAGGAGAACCACTAATTCGATTGGGACAAGCAAAGCAGAGACAAGCATGGGAGTTCCTAGAAGCCTGGTACTCCATGAAGAAAGCCATCAACAAACACATAGAACGCGACCCCATATACACTCCATTGCGAAGGAAAACCAGAAGTGAGGTAATCCAGCTCAATGGACTCCAGAGTTTAAATACGAGGCAGGAAAACACAATGGCGCTTCATCGGAGGCTGCACTGATGATGTTACCCAGCAGGGTAATGAAACGTCTGCAGAACAACAAACCAGCTCGGCGAGCCAACCAACCGCAACATCCACAACCCAAGCTACAAATCTATTCTAAAACCTTAATGTGAATTCCAGGCTACAATCAGATCAGCCATGATTTTATTGAACAACGAAGCAGACTTGAGGGGCTGAATGACCTACTTCTACATACAGTCACATGTTCGTATGTAATCACCCTCACTAGAAAAAAATTACTATAAAATCTAATGGACAAAAGCCTGTCAATTCTCCAGCACCAAACAGATTGTATCCTAGGATTTAAAGGAAGTGGCTGCAGCAATAGTGTATACATAGGTTGTAAATTTCCCAAATTCCCTAGATTCTGGAAAGCTCCCCATCGATTGGAAAGTTGCAAATAAACTGCACTATTCAAGGAAGGAGGAAGACAGAAAGCTAACATGTGTCATTGGAAAAATGCTGCAATCCATTATTAAGGAAGTGATAGCAGGCTATTTCGAAAATTACAATACTATCACCAGACAACATGATTATGTTAAAGGAAATTGTGTTTAACAAATGTGTTAGAGTTTCTCAAATTGGTAACAAACAGAATATGTATCGTACTTCAGATTTTCAGAAGGCATTTTCTGAGGTGCTGCACTCAAGTCAGCTGCTTATGACATGAGCTCACGCTGTTGGGGGTAATAAATTAGAATGGATAGATGATTGGCTAACTAACAGAAACAGAGAGTGAGAATAGATGAGTTATTTTCGATTTGGTAAACCATAACCAAAGGAATGAGTGTTGGGACTTCAACAATTTACAAGTCTTATTAATAACTTGGGTGAAGGTACAAAATGTTTTGTAACCAACTTTGCTGATGCTTCAAGGATAGGTAGGGAAACAAGTTGTGAGGAGAATCCAAAGAACTTGCAAATGGATACAAGCTGTTAAGCAGGTGGGCAAAAAATTAGGAATGGAGTATACTGTGGGAAAATGTTAGGTTGCCCACTTTGGCAGGAACTACACAGTTAGTACTGGCTACTTACCAGGCTGGAAAGTAATGATAGAAGCATCTGTGTTTGGCCTTTCCTCATAATCACTCATAACCTGAGCAGAGCCTTGACAAGTATAACAGCGCACAGTGGCCTTGTAACTGATGTCACCACTGCGGTACACAATTGCTGTGATCTTGCCAATTTTTTCTTTTCCCACATACTGGGATTCTTTGAATTGCATCTTGGTCACTGAAGACACATAAGAAAGTACAGACTTTGTTAAAATTGGAAGAATCAGATTGTTCTGTTGAGAGGACAAGTGAGACAGTTGGGTTCTGATTTCATGCCTCCAAACTTACAGTTAGATTTGGAATCATTAATGGTGACCGTTGTCTTGCTGGGCTCACCAAGTACTGCATTCATTGGCATACGGAGTACAAGTTCAAAATTCTCAGGCCCCTCGAGAACAGGCTGGCCCAGGTCATCCAGAACAGTAACACGGAATGTCTGCATCGTGACACCTGGGGCAAAGTCCAAATTTCGACTGATTCCAACATAATCAACTCCAGCTTGAAACAAAAATCATACCAATTACCTTATTGCACTACAGTTTTTCACAAGAAATAAGTAAGATTTTTAAAAAGTTTTCTTTGATGTTAGTACCTTGTTTGTCTTTTGGTCACACTCCCTTTAAGTCAGCATGTTGTGGATTTACTCCAGGAGTTGAACACAAACTGAGGCTCACTCTTTGAAACAATACTGAAGAAATGCTGCATAGACTCCATCACACAATCCTATTATCTTGATCAATATTCTTCCCTCAACTCATACCACTAAAACGTATCCAGTCATCACTGCCGATTTGTGGGAAACAGTTGTATCAAAATGGCTGCATTCTTTGCATATAACTTGGGCTGCAATTCAAACTACATGAAGTGATTTTGGGAAGTTTCTGAATGTTATTCTAATGCAATTTATAAATGTAGGTTCTTATTTTTGCCTGCATGTTTCTACACGTAGCAAGGCAAGATTCACATTAGTGACTTGAGCAATGTCTAACTGGCGCATGGTCCATTCCCCCTCCCTATCCTTCCCTATCTCTATAATGTCCTCCAATCCTAAAACTCTCTGAAATCTCTGAGTTTCTTCCATTCTGGCCTCTTGCTCAACTCTGATTTTCATCATTCCACCATTACTGTCTGCTACCTGAACTTTGAATTCCTTTAATTAACCTTTTTTTGTTCCTCCCTTGTAATCATGGCCTCCAGTTTTGGATTCCTCATTATAAATGAAAAGCCATTCTCTAAGTGTACCTATCAAAACCTTTCATGATTTTTAATAACTTCTATTAAGTCATCCCTCAGTTTTCTCCTTTTTGGAGAAAAATGCACTTGGAGAAAAATGCTCTAACCAGTTCAAGCTTTCCTGACGGTTGTTACCAACACTCCTTCTAAATTTTTTTTGGCGTGCAAATCTTTGAGGTCGAGCATAGCCAGCAGTCAATGCAGCAGCACACTGATCAATGGAATCTTGGAGCAGCTATGGGCAGTCATGCAGCTTAGAGGGAATGTTGGTTATGATGCCTTATTTCTAGTCTCATCTTTGCTAATAATTTTTTCACTGTCTCCATCAACGCTAAATCTGTTCTAACATGGAGACCAGAATGGTCTAATCATGGTTCAGTAAAACTTGAACATATCCTCATTGATTTGAAGTTTTATTTATCTAGAAATTAATATTGATGCATTTTTAGTGCCCTGTTAGCCTATTATGCTACTTTTAATAATTTTTCAATCAGTACCCCCTAGTTCTCTTTGTTTCTCTATCTCTTTTACACACATAACTTGTAAGACATATGTGATCTTATTATTTCTATGCTCAAAATGCATCAATTCACACATACTTACATTAATACAGTTAATGACAGTTTATTAATGTCCAAATTTCCATCTGTAACTTTTAATAGGAAAGAACTGCTGCTTTGCTCAAATTTTGATATGCGCTAAATGATTCTGCGATCATCAATCTTTGGTACAGTTCGAAGAGGAGTAGGTTGAATTTTATGCTAACAGCAGTCGAGAGTTTCCCTTTGATCAGAGAACATTACTCTGATCTCAGTGAAGTTTTACTGGTTTGAATAATAACAAAATGATTAACTGGTGGCATCAGGTTATATATCTGTCAGTAAAATTCATCTCCACAGGCAACCTACAACCTCAGTGCCCTGGGCAACAGAAAGCAAAAATAAAAATCAACCTATGAGTTACAATTATTATTTTGTGACCATTGCTTGAAAGATCAAAATTAGACGTGAAAGCAGACTTGTCTTTGATAATCCACTAGATTAAACACCTGCCATTTTTCACACATGCAGAAAGCCAAAATGACAGAAATTTGCTGGAAAGCTGCAGGCAGGAATAATGGCGAAAAATGTTCTACTCCATAAATAATACAATTCTAACAACAAGGACAAATTAAATCTACACAACATAATACGGAAAGCATTCACATACCTTCTGCGGACATTGGTTCAGTTTCGCAGGAACGCACAGTTACAGTAGCAGTCTTCGACAAGTCAGTTCCTGTTCTCCAGATATACACCTCCACATAGCCAGCACTTTCATCAACCTGATATTTAGTGTTTCCAAAGTAGAATGCAGGTTCTGTGCACAGTAGTTGAACAGAAACAAGAGATGGTGAAAACCTAAATGTAAAAGGAAGATTCTGAGGCTCTTCCATATAACTTTGTTCCACAATGTATTTTTCCTGAGTGGGAAGATCGTCTTTGATATAAAAGAAACCCCAGGTAATTTGCTATTTTCTTATCAGACATTTATGCACTACTGTGTGTTGATGAAAGGAGAATATCATATTGCCATCAGCAGTGTCCTTTCCAATCCTGTCTGATATTGTAATTAGCTTCTTTGAATAGGGCTGCCTCTCAAACTTGTTCATTAAAACAAACAAGCCTGACTGATATTAAGTGCATAGAACTTAATCTATCTGCCCAAGAGCAAGGAGAAAATGGAGAAATTGCTCTTCTGAACCTGCAATTAACTTTAGAAGAAACATCAAACAAGTCATTTCCCTTCTTCAGAGTGACTTCCAAGCAAACTGATGGTGAACTGATATACATAGGGATAATTTTGCTGTAGCACTACTTTAAAGCTGCACCATAATCGATAACTTTAGAACTAGAAACAGCAACAGCAACAGTGATTTAATTCTGGATTAATCTGCATGTAAGTCAGATTCTGGGTGGTGGTACATGGGGAATTATTAGATACAAAATTGTACAATATATTTATTTATTTAAAATTACATAATAGTGACACATTTGTTTCTTTCACAAGTGAAACAATGCTTTTGGTTAAAGAATGTACACCTGCTCTAAGCCCACAACAATTATATGCTTACCAAAAAATACAAACAGATTAAGAGACTGGACATCCATTCCTCTGACAAAGTTTCCTACCACACTGTGTTGCACTACTTGGAGCTTCACCACACCAGATTACTTAAACTTTTCAGTTTACATTGGAATGCATCTGAACAACCACAGCCAATGTAAACAATCCTGATTTTCTTCATGTTTCCTAATACTCTGGATAACTGAGGAATTGTTATTTGATACAACAGATTGGACAGAACTTAATGAAAGTGACGTAGCCATTCTGGGTGGTGATACATTGGATGTCGTTCTTCATTTCTGGGAATGCAGGAAAAATTTTAACTGCTGATCAATGTATGCTCCCCCAGTCATTTCTCAGTTGATAGTGAATTAGAAAGTGGTGGGTTCAAATCCGACTCCAGAGACTTGATCACGATCTAGATTTACAATTCAGTGCAGTTTTGAGGTACTGTCTTCTGGATAAGATATTAACGCTTCGGTTTTCTCAGACGGATGTAAAAGATCCCAAAACAAATTTCAAGAATAACATTTCAGTTCTCCCTGTCAACCTAAATTTCTAACATAACAGATTATCTGGTCGTGATCATATTTTGTTGCTGCTTTTCTTTCACTGGCTGCGAAACACTTTAGGTCATCCTGAAGTCAAGAAAGTTGCTACATAAAATACAAACTGTTCTGTCTTCCTTTTCCAATAGCAACCTCACAGGAAGACTGGCCAATGCTCTCTCATAGCGTCTTGCAAGCTGTGAAATTACTACTTTTATAAGATGCAGCATGAGATATTACAAAGTGGCAATTCCTATCCTATAGCTGACAAAGGATTCACCACTCTCAATATCAAAAAGATACTATGACATTTTCATAAATGCCTCTGCCACTAACATTAAAAACAAGAAAACTTTCTACAGTTGTAATAAAGAGATATTTCTCACAAACATAGAAAAGTTGAGTTTTTAAGAAGATTCAATCTAATAACTCATAAAAACATGTACAACTGACCTTAATACCTTTAAATTAAGAAACGTATAAACAACGCAAAAAAGAAGCCACTACCAATCCTTAAGCTGCTAGTCACAACAGCTTAAGAGATAAACTGATTGGGCAAAGTATTAAAGCCACAGTACCTCTGTATTGCCTGTGTACATTCAATCTATGTACAGTCCACTTATTATTACATATGATGTTAACATAATTAAAATAGACCAATCATGCATTCCTTCCATTGGCTGGAGCATTTGTCGCATGATGCTGTAGGATGTTGAGACATTGAACAGCATCAAGTTCCTTGGAGTGACGATAACCGACAACTTGTCCTGGACTTCCCATGTAAACGCGACAGTCAAGAAGGCACAAGAACACTTCTTCTTCCCCAGGTGGCTCAGGAAATTTGGCATGTCCAAAACGTCCCTCACCAACTTCTACTGATGCACCATTGAAAGCATACTGTCTGGATGCACAATGGTCTGGTATGGCAGCTGCTCTGCCCAGGACCATAAGAAACTACAGAAGGTGGTGTGCACAGTCCAGACCATCACGTCAGGCAGAAGATACAGAAGCCTACAAACACGCACAAGCAGGTTCAGGAAGAGCTTCTTTCTGGCTGTTATCAGACTGTTGAATGGACTCTAGCCTCAAATGATCTAGCCTGCAATGTAATCTGTATGCCTCTAAATCTTTTTGATCTGTACATCCTTTGCTTGATGTGATCTGCCTGTACTACTCATAAACAAAGCTTTTCACTGTACTTTGGTACATTTGACAATAAAATCAAAAATCAACATCATAAAAAAATCAAAATCAATCATAGTTTGTGTTATAAAGAGAAAGAAGAGCATCAAAGTGTAATTTAGTTATCTATTCACAGAACCAGGCTGCTCAATGCTCATGTGATATTCATGCCATCATTTAAAATTATGACAATACTGCTTGAATAAATAGGCTTCCCTCAAATTTTAATAATTGTACATTTCCAAATTATTTATATTAGTTGCCTCCTTCTTCACCTGACCTGTTTTTGACGGCCCATCAGAAAATGTGGAAAGAACTTCTTTATGTCAACTGCTTCCTGAATTGAGGCCCAGGTAGATAAAGGACACATTAGAGATAGTGGAAAGCTTACCACATGGAGTTAATTGGACCCCACTGGCTTTCCATGGCATTAATATGGGATATTAATTATTATTCAAACTTTTGCAAACACCATCAGTTACATTTAATACTTGTTCAATGTAGATCTACTGTCAATCATGTCATTGAGGCACTGCATCATTTGCAAAAATACCTGTTTCTATTTAAGTGACTGTGTAAACATGTATTCTATCCTATCTATCACCTTGCAGCTGCTGAATTATTTTAGTAAATGTCCCCTGAAAGAAATATTCTGAACAAACTTAATCATGAAATAGTTTAGGTAGCAAACATTGCGTGAATGAATGATGAAAGAATGATTTATTTATTGTCACTTGCATTTTACAGTGAATAATACAGTAAAATAGTGAAAAGCTTCAACAGTTGCCATAACGCAATGCTGTTTTGAATATTTTAAGAATAAAAAGGAGAAAAGATATAACTGGAAAGTGAGTCCTCAGCTGGCTCACCAATGACACCTGCGCCGTAACCTCTCCTCTGCTGCCTCGCCACCTGCGCTGGACACACCAACACAGGAATCACCACTTTTTAGGTACCATCTCTTCGCCTCTAAGCCCACCTCGCCAACACCATCACCAAGGCCGACGCTGACTCCAATGCTGAAGCCAAACTCAGCCCGCGAACAGGAGTCCCTGGCTCCACTGCCGCCTCAATGACACCAGGAGTCCCGGCTCTGGGCATACCATGCTGCTGTCGCTTGCAAACATACGATTCATCTACTTCACCAATGTCTCTTTACTTGTAATAGAATGCATAAGAAAATGTAAAATGATGCTGTACAAAACTCCATTATACCTGTGGTATCTGTATTGTAATGAAGATTCATAATATATTTGAGAACTTGGGTTCTAAAGTGAAGAAAAAATGGATTTTGATTTCAAATCTCTGAAAGTCTGACTTGCTTTTATTTTAAAGACCAGAAAGTGTCTAAGGTTTTGGAGTAGATCCCCTGCAGAGACTGCGAGAAACACTACATCGGACAAACAGGAAGGAAACTAACAACAAGAGTACATGAACACCAACTGGCTACAAAAAGACATGACCAATACCCACTCGTCTCAATCCACATGGATAAGGAGAACCACGACTTCGACTGCGTCAACACCAAGATCCTGGGACAGGCTAGGCAGAGACAAGCACGAGAATTCCTGGAAGCATGGCACTCCACGAAGCATGCTATTAACAAACACATTGAACTCGACCCCATATACATTCCACTACGGAAGAAACCCGGAAGTGAGGCAATCCATCGCAACGGACCCCAGAGTTTAAAAACCAGGCGGGAAAACACACCGATGCTTCATCAGAGGCTGCACGGTAATGAAACGTCTGCGGAACAACAAACCAGCTCGGCGAGCCAACCAACCTCAAGATTAAAAAGTGATTATTAACAGTGAATTCAACCTAGTATTTTAAAATAAGTCATATGATTTAAGCTAAGTGACCAACGAATCACCAGGGGATATCATTTATGAGGTATTTGCTGACTTGCAATTTATCACTTCACCTGATGAAGGGGCAGCATTTCGAAAGCTTGTGATTTCAAATAAATCTGTTGGACTATAACGTGGTGTCATGCGACTTTTGACCACGTCCACCCTAGTCCAACACCAACACCGCCACATCATGCAATTTATGACCAGAGAGAGATAAAGAGAGGGGAGACAAGAAGCAGGTTCATGCAGACATAAGAGGTCCATAAGCAGAGATGCAGCTCCAAGCAGTCAGGGCTGGGGAGAAGAAAGTTCCAGAATCAGAAAGCTATGAAGGTGTCAGAAAGGAAAGCATTCTACAAGACTGCTGAAAACAAGAGCTAGGTCACCCATATTAAGCAATATGTGAACTGAGTTAAAAGCTGGTTTTGAGGGTCTCTGGGAGAGACATTAACCAAAGGAAATAGCATGGAGTGAATGCACAGAAATTTTTCGAATGGAAACCGATTATACCAACTTGAGATACATAAAATAATGAAAGGCATAGATAGGGTGGACAGAAGGAAACCTTTCCCTTTGATGGAGGGAACAATGACCAGATGACACATATTTAAGGTAAGAGGAAGAAGGTTTGGAGGAGATGCGAGGAAAAACATTTTTACCCAGAGGT